AGGTACTTTCAGGATGTGGTTTACAGCCGGATGTGTTGCTCAACACGCGCACACGCTGGCTCTAACGCAGACACACGATATCGTCCTCTCCAACCACCTCGAGAGCAGATGGTGCCTCTGCATGTCAAATTTTGGATTCTTTATTTGCGAGGATCATTTGCAGGGTATGTATGATATATGAGGCTATGATAATGTGATCGTCGTCGTGTTGTAAAAACCATTCAGCTACAATATGTCTAGGGTCCTGATGTTCATAATGTCAATCGAAGCCGGGTCTTTCACCTGCGCAATGATATTGGTCCGACGCGACCCTCTTGTATTCTCCAACGCGTTGCTGCGCTACCAAAAGTGCGCTGAAAGCCTGCCCAAGGTGAACCATCAAACGCAATGATCGTGAGTGAACATCCGAGTCAACTGACAACTCCTCTTCTCCAGGTGAGTTGCTGGACGACTCTTCAGTGTCGCTAATCCAGACTGGGACTCGGACCAATCCCTACGCTCTCCCCTTCGTCTGCAAAGGTGGGCTGCTCTGAAAAATCAGGCAGCCCAAGGAGACGACGATCCCATGGACGGACAAGAAAGAACGTCTGCCGAGTGGGTCTTGCGCGCGAGAATGAATTAGTGTCTTGTCCGTGGTGATCAGCAAGTCCTGAAGCCCATCTGCTTTGACTCATATGTGGAATGAGCAGCAGACCAGGCCTCCGTTTGACTTCCGTGACACGGAATGCGATGCAAGGCAGACGGAGTCTGCAGTTTGCGAAGAGCGGAGCATTCATGTTCTCGAGCAGGTTATACAACTTCGAAGCTGAATCCACAGGCACAATGTTTCGCAACGAAGAGACCGCTGTCTGAATCTCATCTTCAGACAATGATGGTAGGGATATGGCGGGGTTGCATATGAGATGATGTCGGCTGGAAGGCAACTATTGAACTCGGACGATTGTCCGACCCAGTCCAGGGAAGTGATGTCGCCCGATCTAGCCAGACGATCTCCTGCAGGAGCCGTCCGAGCGCATTTTGCTTCTTCTCGCCATAGATGACAGGCAGGTGGACGCGAAGATACCAAATAACGAGTACGCGGTCTTCCTGCACAGTGGTGACGCGCTTCGATGCCCATTGCAGTTTCTGTCTAGCATCTCTCATCCCTGGACGGAAGGAGATCAGGGCCTGTGCATCTATTCCCGTCGCACCCTCCAACTCCTTCATGATTGCTGAGATTCTTTGTGGTTGAGAGCGATCGTCGAGATAAACGACCAATCCTTCTGATAAAATCTAACGACTTTCGGAGCGACAATTCTTGAAAGGTCCATCCCGCTCGTTCCAAACACTGCTTGCTAGTGCACCGGGTTGGGATGAAGGAGGACATCGGATAGGTAGACGATGGTGAGCGCCGAGTGACGGTACCAGACGAACATGGATTGGACCGATTCTCCAAGCTCGGCGTTGTTGCTCTTATCGATGCAGCATGTATCCATCCACGCCCAGAAATACCCCGCATCACGAGCGATTTTGCAGAACGACTGCAGTTTCGTGATGCCACCAAGTCCCTTCAACTCGCGCACATCTTTATTTGGATGTGGTGCAGCAGCACCTCCGTCTCTTCCCACTTGTGTGATAGCAAAACGCAACGGAAGTGCATCGCCACCACCTCCTTGATGCGTTCCATTTCGAGATCCGAACGCTTCGTTATGGATGACAAAAGCTCCTTGTATTCTGGACTTGTTTTGAAGGAGTTTAGCTGTGCTGCTCGGTCGCACAGAATCCCCGTAGAGGTGTTGAGCAGACGAAGGGGGGCGTTGCTGAGTTCAATCCAAACCGCTCTTCGAATAGCGTCTTCTGCTTCCGATGGACAGACGTACTGCTGACGCAGATCTGCAGAACAAGATAGGCATTTCGAGACGAGGTAGCAATGTTCCATGCTTACCTCGTATCTGCCTTCTGGAGCATCGTCCAACTTGGACAACATGATTGTGAAGGCCTCGATGGCTTCATCGTAACGTTGCGCGCCACGCAGCGCTGAGTGTGACAACTGGTACCCAACATGAGACGAAGGTTGAGTTCGGTGACCTGCATCGCCGAAGTCAACATGGCTACGAAAACGTGGATGCCATCGCACCTTTCGCGCGTCGAGGAGCGCATCCTCCCAAGCATTTTACTTAACTTTGCCTCGCTGCGACTTGCAAAGAAGATATCGGATGCAGAATCCAGGTCGATCGCCATCGAGTATAGGTCAATAGCCTTGTCGTAATCGCTTGCAGCGAAGGCAGCTCTCCATTGGCAGCGCAGAGTGCGCTGCATTCCTGTTTGAAATCTGAGAAGAATACAGGTGAGGATTGTCGCCTGCGCGACATTACTGGTTCTAGACTCGCCGTTGGACCAATCAAGCAGTCGGCATTGGTGATTTCGTCACTTGAAGTCATCATGTGTTGGTATGATTTCACGGCATCTTGGAGTTTGCCCGCCCGAAGGAGTGCATCACACCGTTTATGGTGTGCCTTTTGCCACAACGACTTCAGGTCCCAGCCAAAGAGCTGGACAAGGATTCAGTTATGAAAAGCGTTATACATGCATCATCTTGACGTACCACCACCAAATCCTCATATACTTCATGAATGTTCGATTTCGATGATGAATCGCGAGAGTCGAGAGCGGCAGTGAAATGGTCGGCAGCTTCGTCGTAGCGTGCGCCATCCAAGGCTTTGATTCCGAGTTGAACGTGTAGATATGCCTAATGTGCGAGTTGTAAAGATGAGTGTTGATGACCAAGCATGGATGATACTTACTTGCACGATATCACATGCGAGAGTATCGGCATTCGGACAACCGGTAGCGAGCTCTTGAGGAGCAGGTTTGCCTCGTCATGTTGATCTGCATTGAAAGCGCGATGGCCTGAAATACGCGATGAAGGGAAGAGTATGCGAGGCAAATGTAACATACCTTGATCAATAGCAGAAAATGAGTGATTTCTGAATCCTGGTCCGTGTACATGGATGCAACATCAAATGCTGCCCTCGCATCCAGGACGCGGCCTTTTCCACAGAGGGCAATACCCTTGGAGATATAGCCCGTCAATGAGGGCTGAATCCTGATGGACTATGTCACCGTCGAGTTAGTCTGTATAAGGCGGCGATGATTCTCACCTTGATTGCGTCCAGAAGGGCGCGGTCCCAGTCGTATTTTCGCGCCATGACGAATGACCGATGGGCGTAGGAAGTATGGTTGTTCGGACTGGTGTTGATATCTTGAGTGAGTAGTCGGCGGTAGATAAGTCTCCATTTAGACATGCAATACGGGAGGTCGTGATGGCTAGGATCTGCACGAAACATGCTCTAATTGTGGTATATATGAGTCAAGAACGGAAACATGCCTTTGAGCGATGGACGTAGGGAGTATGGTTGTTCGCATCGGTATTGATATCTTGCATGAGTAGTTCTTCGTCAGTAGATAAGTCTCCATCTATGCATGCATCGCGGACTGTTGTGGTGGCAATAGTCTGCAAGAAGCATGCTCGATTTGTGGTATATGAGTCAGAGAGAAACATGCCTTTGGATGTATACCCTGAGGTACTGTCCACTCTGAGATCATCTTATCGTTACCTCCACTGAAGATGTGATTGCCGTCCACGGAGAAAGTGACGCATAAATTGGCGAGTGAGTGCTTGAAGACGGCAATGGTTTGTCGATCTGAGAGCTGCCAGAGACGATGGTGTCATAGATGCGGATGCAACGAGTGTGCCAGCAGGATGAATGGCAATGGCTTGGATGTGGTCAGTGTGGCCCGTCCAAGGATCACCGACCTGCTTCCAGTTTTTGTATCCCATTCGCGTATAGTAGGATCTTCCTATCGCCGCCTGTGAGAAGGCGTGTGCCATCGGGCGTCCACACGAGTGAGAGTTCCATGATTTGTGACCCGAATGATGTGACGTGTTTCCTGTGCCTGAATTGTAAATTTGAATATCATGTTGGTTGCGACGGCAAGCAGTTCTCCAGACGGTGAATACCGTACGCAGTGATATATGCATCACACTCGATGGATCTCCTTGCAGCTGCCAGGTTTTGGTATTCCAATTTCGTCATTTTTTCGTAATAGAACCAGTGGCCAGCACTGTTCCATCGGGAAAAAATCCAGCGAGGAGATCAAATTGGAGTGTGCTTGATTTTGGTGAGTAATTCGCCAGTTTCTCCGTGCCAGACGATGACCTCTCCCTCTATCACCGCTTGCTATCAATTGCCCATCTCGTGATACCGCCAACTCCACACCCGATTGCGATGCCCCTCCATCTTCTTCAACGCAACACCTGTCTTCAAGTCCCACAGACGAAGCGTTTGTCGGCGAGCCCGTAACCATCCGACGTTTATCAGGGAAAACTGCGACTGTAGTTATGCCTTCTTCATGGCCTTTAAACCATCGCAGGGGAGTGGTGATTGCAATGAGCTCCGACATTTTACTGGATGTTGATGGTATGGAATACGGACGAGGCTAAACTTTGGAGGGATGATGTCTTTCTCTAAGCTGCACAGGGTGTATGGTGCGTTTTATGGTGCTTCCCAGCTCAATGGACGCCCGGAATATCTAAGGCCGCCTGTTCGTGCCCACGCCTCCATCACCGTAATGCACCCACCCTATTGTCATACCCGCTGTCCTCGACAATATGCACATCTGCAGTGCATACATGCGTCCGACTCTTGGCTTCACAGCTTCCAGAATGTATCCTATCGCATCAAGTCGAGCAGTCCGTGCTTTCCAGCGCTCGAATCTGACTGTCTATCCTGCATGAATACCGTTGTTTTTCGTATCTAGCAGCTACTCCAGCTTATCACCACGTTACTTCTTCGAACGCGTGTATATAGCTTACTGCAATATCACTTCTCCATCCAACAGACTCCCAAGATTGTGTGCACAAGATGCAACTAAATTTCGTGGTACAGCCTCGGAATTTCCCCACCATTCCCACGGGCATTGTGAAAATGCTGCGCCACTGCCGCATGCGACTGCTGCGGTGTTCCTAAACGGTGAGTGCGCATTAACTACAAGTACTTACTTACTGCTAATCACTGGAACCTCCCAGTACTTATCCTCCAAACGAGCCATGGACTGGAGGGTGCTCCGATTCCTTATATGTATATCCACGCTCTCAAAGTCACGGTCAGGCGATATCATCGAGATTCGCAGTACTCCCGGTCTGCAAGTCAGGTCTCTCAAACAACTACCTTGTTACTAAACGACCTTTCATATTGCATTGTAGTCTGATTCCTCCGCATACAATGTTATTTTTATTTCTTTTTAGTGAACGACTGCGTAGTTGCGGGCATTGTCTCAAACCTGACGCAGTCATTGGCACCTTTCTTCGCGTTTATTTTGCTCGTGTGTGGTCGCGCAGCAGTCGCAGCATTTTCCTAGTGCCCCATTGCCATACTGCTAGTGGCCGCATCTCACTGCGATGCCCCTCCATACACAACACCTGTATTCAAGTCCCACAACCGAAGCATCTTGTCATCTATAGGGAAAACCTGCGACTGCGCTTGCGCCGCTCTCATGATCTTCAATAACTCAACGGAGTGCGGTGCTTGAAACGAGCTTCGACATCTGGCTGCATGCTGACAATGTGGAGCACGGTCGAGGTAGACTTTGGAGGGATTGTTGGTGTCTTTCTTTAGGCTGCAGAAGTGCGTATATCGTGGGTTTCTCTTCACCCCATTGACTTTTTCCTTAGACACCCTAGTAAGACATGGACCCCATTCATCTGAGATCTCTTCAGGTGAATATGATCCCACCATACAGGAACCACGGTGGAAGCCATTTACTTGGAAGCAGGTCGGTGATGTCATCCATGCCACCATATATTTATGCTGCTGGCATCTGATCGCTTCCGCATCTCACGACGTCTCACGAGGCAGCTGTCGGGTTGGCGAACCGTCGCCATCTTCCCTCACTCTGTTTTGACGACTTGTGTAATATTCTCTACGAAAGACATATCTTCAGCTGAGCTCATGAGCTTTTGATGAGATGGTCTTAGAGAGTGCCTCTACCACAGGACACTCTGCTGGAGGGTACTTCACAAGTGCCGCTATCAAAGGTACCTTTCTGTATGTACTTTGCCGCTGACTCCCGACCCCCTCGTCATCTCATCTCGCGAAAGGCCGGGTTGCAGATGGGTGCCTGAGACAATAAGGTGGAAATCAACGTATGTAAGTTAGCATTGATTTCCTTCTTCGTCTTCCTCCACATCGACACCTAAAGCATGCAATTCCTCGCTACAGAGGTTGAAAGAACTCTTTGGGTTACATATGGAAAGCTGTGGTGACGTGAGTTGGACACATATGTCCAGGTGCTTGCCTGTGAGCAAGGACATTCCACGGGGTCACCGTCTTCTAGATCCCATAGACGAAGGGTCTTGTCGCACGAGGCCATCACCATACGGCGTCTGTCCGGGAATTCTGCAACTGCAAAGATACTATCTCCATGACCTTTAAATGTTTGACTAGTCGTTGTGATTCGGATGACAGGATGTTCTGCCTCCGTCATTCTGCTCGGGGTGGATGGTGTTGAGCACAACTTGCTCGAGAGCTTGTGAGTGTCTTGATCCAAGAGGTGCCTGTACCGGGCCTTTTTGCTTCTTCACAGCCTTAATCTGCATATCAAACGCCACTGGCAGGACACGAGGCACACCACGGGGGTAAAATGGAACTTAGTGGAGGCATAATAGGCTGAAGTGTGCTTGATTAGGACTGGGATGATGGTCATCAAATCCTTCACGTGCCCTGTCGTGATTGCGCGGCTGGTCACACTAGCTGAGTCGCGCCGAAACTTACGACAAAAGCAGTATTTCGACCATCTAAACCCTTCGACAAAGCCGTCGTGGAGTCTCTGCGGCAGTAACCAGGATGGGAATGGTCAGGCCAGTAGTAGTCAAGTAGTAGTTGGGAATTGGTGTCAATGATCTCCCTTCATTCACAACGTCGAGGTTTACATCCCTTCTTGACGTTGCAATCACGCTTGAGAGATATTTTCCCAAAGCCTGAAGGAACCGAGCTGCCCATGACAGCGCCTACTATCTTGAAAGACACTTGTTCAAAAAAAGAAGTGTTTTCTATCGTTATCGCGGCAAGCAATATATACTAGTCCAGCTAGAGGTCGTCGAGCATTCACTACTGGGAATGGTACCATCTTGCGTGCTTATCAGATAGCGTTTGTAAGCCAAGTAATTTAGTCAGCGCTAGTCAGCGTCATCCCGATTCATCGATATACATCCGTTATCAGCCTCGTACGTGCTCAATTTGCAACCATGTAAATATAAATCCAGGGCTAGTTTCGCACTCTTCATCCAGCCAGTCCACCATGTCCATCCCTGCATTCGATACTACTCTCTCCTACTCCACCTATACCCAACCACCCAATCCATCCTGGACGTATGGTCAGAAAGTCGACGCCACTCCTGCCGGCAAAGAGTGGCTCGAAGGTGAATCTGCAGGGTGGAAAGTCTACAACACAGCAGAAACAGACAAGATGTACGTACTCCCCACCTGTTGTTAAGCCGCGATCTGACCGCGATCGACAGCGATCTCTACAAGCTCTTGATTTCAGGCGTCGTACCACGCCCCATCGCATTCGTGTCCACGATCAGCGAAGATGGCATAGAGAACCTGGCACCGTTCAGGTAAGACACACCTCCGGTATCGAACACACTTCGCACACTTACCTGGGTTGCATCTACCAGTTGGTTTAACACAGTGAGCAATACAACAGACAATGTCTCTTCAATCGTTCAATAACCTCTTCCCCATAGGTCACGAACTACCCTCCTGTCATCTCCTTTGCAGTCAACCACAGCGCTCCAGGCCGGCTCAAAGACACGGCCACAAACTTGAAGAACGGCCAAGGATTCACTGTGAACATCATCAGCGAGGCATTCGTCGAGAACGCAAATGCGACTGCTATAGATGCTCCTCGCGACTTCGACGAGTGGACTCTCAGCGGTCTGACAAAGGAGAAATGCGTATGCGTGCACCTTCATCATACGATATATGCGCTAACAACGGTGCGTTCAGGTGCAAATAAGAGCCTCGCGCGTCAAGGAAAGCGCTTTTAGCATGGAATGCGAGGTAATCCCATTTCACGCCGAGTCCGTTCGCTCGCTAACAACGCCACCTCCCAACAGCTCTACAAAGCGATAGACATCACCCACCCAGTCACAGGCGAGCACAACAACACGCTCATCCTCGCGCACGTCAAGTACATCCACGTCCGCAAAGACGTGCTCACAGAGAAAGGTGTCATCGACCTCGCAAAGTTCAAGCCTGTCGCGCGTTTGGGCGACATCTCGTATGCCCGGGTTGGAGATGCGTACAGGATCGCTCGTCCATCATGGGCGCAGGATGAGGAGAAGATACAGGAGGCATTGACGACTCACGCATCACTGTGAGATAGAACGAAGGAGCCATTTTTTGGTAATATATACCATAGATCATATGTAAGACGGGCACTGGTATGGTACCATATTGGTTACAACATGTCACCCCTGCATCACGAGCAACGAAGCCCTATATAGGCCATTCATGATTCATGTAATCCTTTCAGATGCAATTGTTACGTGCCGTGATCACATCCACAAAGCAATTTGACATGCATATGTCGCGTGTGTGTACTAGCTGCCTGCGCGTTCACAATCATTGTCGATAGTTCTGAAGGACATCAGGTTTGAAAAGTTGAAAATTAGTCGTGATTATTATGATGTAAAAGTAGGGCTTGTAGCTAGTCAATTATAAAGGTCTATCTTCGGGATAAGAAATAACGACGGACCCGCCTGGATGCTGATATCTATATGATCTATGGTATTTGTTCCCCAGAAATAGTAAGCCACTCTCCGTTCTATTTCATGTTGATGCGAGAGTCTTCAATGCTTCCTGTATCTTCCCCTCCTCCTGCGCCCATAATGGAACAGGCATCCTATATGTATCTCCAACCCGGGCATATGAGATATCGCCCACACGTCCGACAGGCTTGAACTTTATGAGGTCGACAGCACCTCTGCCTGTGAGCATGTCTTTGCGCACGTGGAAGTACTTGACGTGCGCGAGGATGAGCGTGCTGGTGTGCTCGCCTGTGACTGGATGCGTGATGTCTATCGATTTGTACAACTGTTGGGAACCGACGTTGTTAGCGAGCGAGCGGGCTAGGCGTGAAATGGAATTACCTCGCATTCCATACTAAAGCGCTTTCTTTGACGCGTGAGGCTCTTATTTGCACCTAAACACGTCGTCGTTAGCGCATATATCGTATCATGAACGTGCAAGCGTACACATTTCTCCTTTGTCAAACCACTGAGAGTCCACTCGTCGACGTCGGGAGGAGCGTCTACGGCAGCCGCATTGGCATTTTCGATAAACGCCTCGCTGATGATGTTCACGGCGAACCCTTGGCCGTTCTTCAAGTTCCTGGTCGTGTCTTTTAGGCGGCCCGCAGGGTTTCGGTTGATTCCGAATGAGATGACAGGCGGATAGTCCGTGACCTATAGGAAGAGGTTAAACATTAGAGGGACGCGTTGTTTGTTGTATTGCCGCTCACTGTGTTGAACCAACTGGTAGATAGCCAGGTAAGCGCGCAGAACGCAATAGATCATGAAAGCGCGTCTTACCTGAACGATGCCAGGTTCTCTACGCCATCCTCGCTGATCGTAGATACGATCGTCATGGGGCGTGGTGCAATGCCTGAATTCAAGAGCTTCCTAATATTGCTGTGGATTGCGGTCACGATCGCGGCTAATCAACAGATGGAGGAGTACGTACGCCTTGTCCATTTCTGCTGTGTTATAGACATTCCAGCCTGCAGATTCGCCTGCAAGCCAGTCTTTTCCGGCAGGAGTGGCGTCGACTTTCTGGCCGTACGTCCAGGATGGATTGGGTGATTGGGTGGTGGTAGAGTAGGAGGTGTATCGAATGGAGGGATGTACATGGTTGGTGGATGAGCTGGATGAAAACAGCAAGACCGACCCTGTTTTTATAGTTACATGGTCGAGGCCAGTCTTCACGCATGAGGTCGAAGTGCTGATAACGGATGATGGTGACTGCTTGGCTTACGAAACGGAGGACGCAAGTTGTGGATCGGACTCGCAGATCATGGATGAACGCATAATGGTAAACAGCTGGTGTCGCGTCCGTGATCGGATCAGTGTCAGCTACTGAGATTTACAATTGGATCAACTATGCACCTATAATTCCCATCACCTAACTTAGGTGATAGACCAGTCGGCAGACTCGGCACTAGGGCTCCGTG